TCCTCCACCAGAACTCATACTCTTTCTGCTGTCAGGTGGCCTCTGGCATGACAGTTTAGGATGGGAAGATTGAGAACCCAGGAAACATGTTGGGGCTTGAAGTAAAATATTAACAACATAGTCAGTTCACTGTACAGTCATAAAGGGGTAGAGCTTTGTGATAATTCCTAGATTGGATGTTCTTCGAAGGTTCTCCATTGACTCCTATTTAAAATCCAGATTCCTTTGCTTGAAATGGATTATGGAAACTTGGAAAATCTAAATAGGTGAAAAGAAAAAGAGGTAACTCCTATCAACATAAACTTTTTCCTTTCCTTCCTGCTATCTCTATAATCATCTGAAACTAAATAGACAACAGTTATGTCCCTTAACTTGCTTTTCTTATTATAGGATGTTGTGAATGTCTTTCCAAAAAATATACAGTTTTGAATAGTTCTTAGGTAGTTGCATCTGTTGATTGTGTGATTTCTTCCATTTCTTTTGTGGTTATAAGGTCTTTACCATTATGAGAGTAGATGGGGGTATTTTCGCATCTAACTCTGTGAGCCATCAGAAATGTATCTTAGGGTGTGTGTGAAGCAAAGCTCTAACTGGACCCCTCCCTCCCACGCCAGCCAGTTTCTCCAGATTCCAATTGTTGAAAATCCCTTTAATGTCCATTAGTTTGGGATGCTTTCTTTATTATATGAAATATACATTCTTGTAGATGCCAGGGCCTACTCCAGGACTGTCTGGTCTGTTCTGCTGATCTTTCTCTTGAGTTTTAGACTAGTTCCACACTTTTAATAATGGGAGTTCTATAATGTGTTATCTGGCAGAGAAAGTTCCCCTTCCTTACACAAGTATTTCAGAAATTTCTTAACCTGTTTGCTCTGTTTATTCCATCATGTGAAATTAAGAATCAGTTGATTAAGCTTCAAAATCTCATTTGTAATTTGAATAATTGCTTTAAACCTTTATATGAACTTGAGGAGAATTAATATTAAAATATTTAGTCTGTCCAATCGGGACCTTTCTGTTTTTTAGACTTTCGTTCTCAGTGGGTGTTTTTGTCCTTTACTCCATATAGTCCTTCATATTTCTTTTTTTAAAATTATTTTTATTTTGTGTAATTAAAATTTTTTTTTTTCATATTTCTTAGAATTATATCTAGGGGTTTTTTTGTTTGTTGTGGTTTTTTTTTTTAACATTTTAAAAATTGCTGTTGTGAATGGGAGCATGGAGTGTTTTTTTTCCCATATTTTCACTTGCTTTGCTGGGATAGAATTTAGCTATTTTCTTCTCTTAATTCTGGGATAATCTAGGCACTTTGCTGAGCAACTGCTTATTAACTCTGTGGTGTTTTAGTTCATTCTTTTGAGTATTTCAGAAACAAATGACTGTCATTGTGCTTTCCAGAGCTACTCTTCTTTGTCTGGTTAAGTCTGGGTTCCTGCCCTGGAGCTCCTTGTGGGCTGGTGTCTGCATTACCTCTGGCTCCCCCCAAATGCTAAGAACACAGTAGGTGCTCAGTGAGTGTCCCGTGAATGAGGGTGAAGGAATCCTAGGCCAAGGAGGTTATTCCTAGTCCTGGGACAGCACCTCAATGGGCTATTCCGGTGCAGGGTCTACACCTCAGTCTTACCAGAAGGCTGGGGGCTTTTGTCCACTTCCATACAGAGGGGGAGCAGTGACCACTTTCCCCAAGGAAGCCCCATTCCAGGCAGAGGGGGGCTGGAAATAGAACCCAGTAGGGACTGTGGTTGACCCAGAAAGTCTTGCCTCCCTCCAGCCAGGCCACCTGAGGTGTGCCCCTTCCAGGCTTGGAACCCTCTTTCTGAGGAAGGGAAGCCAACTTCAGACTCAGCCCCCTTTTTATGGGTCCAAAGCAGGGAAAATTAAAACTGGCTCTAGTTCTTCTTCATTTCTATATCCTGTAAAGTTGCCCAAATTATTAGTATTCTGTTCTTTAATTTAAAAAATAGGTAATATACTCACAAGGTTCAAACATGAAAGCAATCTAAAAGGCATACACTGAAACATCTCACTCCATGTCTACCCTGCCCCATCCATAATTACTTTTATTAATTATGTGTCTTTCAAAGATTTCTTCGTTCAAATATAATCAAATATGAATATATGCTTATTTTTCTCCACTCCTAACACAGAAGGTAGCATCCTATACATACACATCTACACCTTGATTTTTTTACTTGAAATGTACATCACTTATTATATGCTAGTCGTTGTTCTCATTATTGAATGTGTGTTGAACACTCATATGCTAGTCACTGTTCTAACCTTTTATATATATTATCTCATTTAATCCTCCTAATACTCCTATTATTATCCTCATTTTGCCATGGAAATTTTTTCATATAAAGAGCTTCCTTAATTTTTTACAGCTTCCTAGTATTCCATTGTATGGGTGCATCATAATTGATGTAACTCATTACCTAGTGATAGACACTTAAGTTATGTGGGTTTTTTTGCCATTATGGGCTGTGTTGGATTGTACAGATGTCAGGTCCTACATGTGGAGATATAGCTGCAGAATAGACACCTAGAAGGGGGATTGCTGGGTCAAAGGATAAATACATTTGTGAATTTGATGAGTATTGCCTAATTGCCCTCTGTTGTAGAGTTATTAGTTCTTTTCATAATTGCCTAGCATTTCTCATTAATAGTGACATTGGTGAACACTAATATTTAACTCAATTATAATAATCATTGTCTTTGTTAAGAACATTTATATAGGACTTATCTGATATGACCCTTTACAGCACTCCCATATGTGATGGGAATTATCCCAGTTTTACAGATAAGAAAACTGAGGTGCATAGAGGTTAAGTGACCTGCCAAAGGGCACAGCTGAGGTCAGATCCACACCTGCCAGGCTCTTTTCTCTGTTCCAGCTGCCACTTAACCTCAGTCACTGGCCCTGTTGCTAGGTGATGGGTCTCTTACTTAGATCAGGTGTCTCAAGGCTGGAGTAGCTGAATGTTCATGACCCACTGGCAACCCCCAGTCCCTTTTCCCACTCTCTGGACTCTCTAGGAAATCTCTGCTAGCCTGGAAGAAGTCTCTCCTGTGTTTGATCAGGAGGATCAAGCCCTGAGACCTTACCCTCTTGGGTGACTTGGGAAGGTTGAGAGCCAGCAAAGCTGAGGACCAGTGCCTAGTGCCCTAATTTTGGATTCAGGTTGGCTACCAGGCTTTCTGTTGGCAGTTCCAGGACAAGTTAATCTCAGTAATTGAGGCCAAAATGGCCCCAGCTAAGAGCCTTTCTCCTGGCCTTAGGAGGACTGGTATGTTATCATTGCTGGTTAGAGTAACAGTATTTCTGGGAAAGTAACTAACAGTATTTTTCCTGGTAACATATAAAGCAACATTGCAATGGTTAAGAGTATGGACTTTGAGTCAGACTGTGTTTTTATATTAGTTTGCTGTTGCTGCTGTAACAAATTACCACAAATTTAGGGGGCTTAAAACAATACAAATTTATTATGTGTAGCTCTGGAGATCAGAAGTCTGAATTGGGTCTCATTGAGATAAGATCAAGATGTCAGCGAGGTTGTCTTCCTTCTAAAGGCTCTTGCAGAGATCTGTTTTCTTGCGTTTTCCAGCTTCTAGAGGCTGCCTGCATTCCTTGGTTCATGACCCCCTTCCATTTTCAAAACCAGCAGGATAATATCACTCTGACCCCTGCTTCCATGATCATGTCTCCCTTCTTTCACTCTCTTGCTTCCTCCCCTTTCCTTTATAAGGCCTCTGTGATCACATTGGGGCCATCCAGATAATCCAGGATGATCTCCCCATCTCAAGATCCTTAATGTAATCACTCCTGCAGAGCCCTTTATGTCATGTAAGTTACCATCGTCACAGGTTCTAGGAATTGGTACAGGAATGGGGGCCATTATTCTGCCTACTACAGGTTGCATTAGACTCTTACCACTTACTAATTGTGTGACCTTGGACAAGTTGTTTTACCTCTTGTTCAGTTTCCCCATCCTTAAAATGGGCATAATAGTTCCTTCCCCATAGGATTTTGGGAGGATTAAATGAGTTAATATTTATCATGTTTATGATTGTTTCTGACATATAGTAAGTGCTATGGAATTATCTGCTAGCTGAAATCTATGAAATAAATAAAAATATACACATTCTTTGATCTAGCAGTACTTTTTTTTGCCATCTATTTCACAGAAGCAAAAGCATCCATGCATTAGGCTACATAAAGCATTGTCCATATTGGCCAAAAAGAAAAGAAAAAATGCATAAACAGGAAATCATTGTATGTCTATTAACAAGAGTGACTCAATCAGTTGCGGTACATCTGGAATATTAAAGAAAATACAATTAGATCTATACTTAAAAGACGGAGAATATCCTGAATGAAAGTTAAATTAGAGGAGGAAATTACAAAGTAATGATATAGCATGATCTCATTTTTAAAAGTACAATGTTCAACCCCCTTCCCCCCAATTGCTGTATTTACTTGAGCCAACTTTTAAACCTCTGAATGTCTCTGTTTCTTCATCTGTGAAATGAGGATAACAGTCATTCTCCCCTGGCCAAATCTAGCCAGGATGAAATGGGATGAAATGTATCAAGTCCTTAGAATCCTGCAGGCAGCTGCATAGCCTGGATATTTGTGTAAAGTGGTTTGAGTGGAGAGAGGTGTGGAAGGATGTACCCAGGATGGTCACCTGGTTACCTCGGATGTGGGGAAAGGAAATTCAAAAGTGGTGGGAAGAGATGATTGCTTTTAAAAAAATATGTCTTTGCATTGTTTCCTGGATGGAGCCTAGCCATTGTTACTTTAGTAACTTTTTCATATTCCAATGTTTTATTGGTAGTTCAGATACTATCACCATAACCACAAACACTGAACTGGGGAAAGCACAAACCTGGAAACATACTATGGTTCAAAGTTTTGTAATTTTTTAAGAATTTAATAAAAACTTAAAGGGGAAAAAAGCAGGAGAGCCCTAACTCAGGCCTCCCTTGTATGTCCTCAGCATCTACTGCCGAGGCTGCTCCAAGCCTCTGTGCTGCACTTGTGCGCTCCTGGACAGCGGCCACACCGACCTCAAGTGCGACATCACGGCGGAGATCCAGCAGCGGCAGGAGGAGCTGGAGGCCATGACGCGGGCGCTGCGGGAGCAGGACTGCGCCTTCAGAGGCGCGCAGGCGCAGATGCAGTCGGCCGTCAGCCAGCTGGGGCGCATGCGCACCGGCACGGAGGAGCTGATCCGCTCAAGCGTGAGGCAGCTAGTAGCACACGTGCTGGCGCAGGAAAGCGAGCTGCTGGAGGCAGTGAACACACGGTACCAGTGCGAGTACAAGAAGATTGCCGGCCAGCTGGGCCACCTGGACGCTGTGCTGCAGCGCATCCACACGGGCAGCCTGCTGGTGCAGAGGATGAAGCGCTACGCCTCCGACCAGGAGGTGCTGGACATGCACGGCTTCCTGCGGGAGGCGCTCCTCCTTTTGAGGCGGGAGGAGCCCCAGAGCCTGCAAGCTGCTGTGCACACTGACAGCTTCAATGAATTCAGGGAGCGCCTGCAGGACCTCGTCTCTTGCATCACCCAGAGGACTGGTAAGCACGAGAGCCACCCTCGAGGCTGTCCTGTTTACCATTTAGTGGCTTGTGCCTTACTCTGCTCCCTGGGGAAGGTGGGGCAGAAAAGATCCTTTCCTTGTGACAGAAAAAGAAACTGGATTTTTTTTTTTATTGTCTCTTGGGTTTGAGCACATCATAGGTTCCAGGACTCAGGATAAAGGAGAAAGTAGCCCCTGACATGGGGCTGCAACCACCCAGAGGGGTCGTGTTTTACCCCTGTGGATTAGCTGTGATCTTGTGATCCTTGGGGAAGTTAAGAAACTACAAAGCTGAGAACTAGACCCAATATCATTGTATCCCCAGAGGGACCAACCACTCCAGGAGGTCCTCTTAAGCCACCTGTGTTCAGCAACATAGAAGTCAGCTGGAATATGAGGTTAAGGCAGAAGTGGGCTGAGAAACCCCCCTGGGGTAGCTGGGTGCTTACCCATAAGCACGCTATGACTCAGTGGAAAAGATCATTTGCCCCCAGAGTGGCCTGCCATCTCGACCAACTGCCACTTTGTGGGCCCTGCCTGGTATTGGGCATTTGGGAGGTCGGAAACATCAGATCAGTTCCTCACCTCAAGTTGTCCAGTCCAACTGGGAGAGCATATCACATGGCTAGAGAAAGAGACAGTGCTTGGCTCTGCAGTACAAATTCAGGAGCTGTAGTAGCTCCACAGAGCTGGATACTCCAGGGGGACTTTCAAGGGGTGGGGGTGTGCAAGACGGCTTCCAGGGTGAGGAGACTTTAATGGCTTTTTGACCAAATCTCTGGGGTGGAACCTGAGATCTGGACAGCTTGTGTGAAAAAGTGGAGGGAGGCTAAGAATCCGAAGGCCCCAGGGGAGGTTCCAGTGATAGAGGGCTCACTCCCTTCTGGCCTTGGAGCTGATGGACATGGGCTCATAAAAGTAAAGTCCTAGAGTGGGCATGGACTTGTGCCTTCTCAGCCTAGGCAGTGAATGTTAACCCATATACAGGAAACGATCCCACAGACTTTTAAACAGCTTGCCCTGGGGGCTGTAACTGGGCAGTGACAAAGGAGTTACATATTATATTCTAAAGGATGAGAGATTTATATTAAATTTAATAAAAACCAGGCTGCAGATCAGAAGAGTATCATGGAGCTCTCCCTGTATGCAGAGAAGTCAGTGAGCAGTAGCACACCTTTAGCATCATTCACACTTTGCTTTGGTGTTGGCTCAGAGTTGGAGAGAGGTGCACTTGTTGTTTGGAGCCAAAGGCAAGTGCCCACTACTGCCACCCCTTTCTCCCTTCTGGCTGGATTCATTCCCACTGTGGTCAGTGAGCTTTCCTTCCAACTGTTAATCCCTCCACGAAGCTGCTGCAGTGTTGTGAGAGGCCCTGGAGAATAGATCTTCAAGAAAAGCAATAAGCACATTCCCTCTTTCCCTCTGTCATTGTCCCAAGTCAGGATATCTCTCACCAGGGTTGTCTCTGACCTGCTTATGACCTTCTCTGTATTCTGCAGATGCAGCTCCACCCAGGAGAGCCAGCCCTGAGGCTACCAGCACTCCCAGGGAGCCTTCTGATATTGACCTGGTGAGATGGGTTTGAGGGCTGACAGGGGTACAGTCCAGCAGGTCAGGCAGGTTGAGAGTTCCCCTGTGTCAGAAAGGAAACTGAGTCTTACTGTCCCTGTGTCTGCAGGTAATAGAGTAGGGAGAGCGCCTGAAAAATGGAGCTGAACTGGAGCTTTCAGTGGGAGAGAGGAATGATGGGGGTGGCTTTCTCTGGGTTCCTAAATGCCACAGTAGCTCTTGATGGGATATGAGTTCTTGATGGATTCAGGAGCACTTAAACCTAGGGGTGGAGAGGAGGTAGTCACTGGTAGGCGCCCCTGATGACCTCTCCCTTCCCTGCACACCACCCCAGATATTTGAGCCTTTTCCTGGGGTCAATGTGTGGACTTTTCCCTCTCTTCCCTCCTTTCCCAGCAGCCTAGGTTCTATCAGTGTGATTTCAGGGTTAGCATATATCCAAGAACCATAGTTTCTCAGGGTTGGAAGGTGCCCATACCCCCCCTAATGTTGGCATTCCCTCTGCAGTGCCCCTGACCTGCACCGTTCAGCTTTCATGCATATACTTTCAAGGACAGGAAGCTCGCTCATTCTTGAAGGCTGTCACTCCCGTCTCTGGACTGCTCTGACTTAAAGTGTTTCCCTGGGTAGAAATGCAATGGCACCCCTTTGACTTGCCCTCTTGGATGCTTGCATGCATGGCACTCTCCACTAGGACCAGCTTCCTCATTTCCTTCCAGGACCAGGTATCTGGTCTCTTTCCCACCCTGTTCATTCAGGTTTGCATGTGCCTGCCTGTCCGGGATCTGATCAGTCATCCATGGAAAGCAGGTCTTCTGGTGGGGAGTAGTCAAGGTGGCAAGCCTTCTTAGCTTTGCTATGGCATGGCCCGTAGGAGAGGGAGATTGCTGAAGGCTGAAGCAATCAGAAAAGGATTCCTGGAGGAGGCAGGACTTTTAGATCTGAGCATTTTAGAGCTAGGAGAGAACATGAAGTCTAACCCCCTCTTTTACAGAAGATAAAGCTAAGGTCCAGAGAGAGGGTGTGGCTTAATCTGAGTCTACATGGTGAGCTGGGATGGGACTAGAAGCCAGCTCCTGCCTTGGTTATTGGATCCCCATATACATAGCTTCAAAAGTAAAAAAATGACATTGTAATTTTTTGGATAGGAATATAATCATATGGTCAGAAATAAAAATGTAGAGAGAAATGTCTCACTCCCCCCCCCATATGCTCATATAACTATCTTTATTAACATTACATATCCTTCCAGAATTCCTTTATGCAGTTATAAGTAAATACAATTATAGGTTGCTTTTTTTTTTTTTTCACATAGGTAGCAGAGCACCATGTTTATATAGTATTGTGCCCCAGGCTTTTTCAGCCAATGAAGTATTCCTTCCTGGTGCCTTTTGTATCTGTGTAGTGGTCCATTGAATATAGCATGCTCTATTTAGCTAAGTCTCAATCAATGCGTATTTAGGTTGTTTTGTATTACATACAGTGCTAGAATAATGTCCCCAAAGAAATCATTGAATAATAGCAGAAAGTGCCCAGAGTCCACAGATCTCAGCTGTCTTCCAGGTGCCAGTTGCTGGTTGATGAACAAACAGCAAGAGAGCCCATACTGTCCGTGTAAGGCCGAGGCATTTCGCTGTGTCTTTTTCTTCAGGTGACTTCTCACTACCCACTACTAAGTAGTTTGAACTTGGAGCATCAGAAGAATGCTCTTTTTGGAGAGCCTCTTGTGGCCTTTAAGTAATAGGCTGGAGGAGGGGGTGGGCAGGAGGATGGGCCTGGGGGAAAGGAAGTAACACTGTGAGTGCAAAAGACAGGTGAGGCCCCTCGAGTGAAGCAAGCAGGGCTGGCTGTCCCAGGAGAGTCAGGTCCATCAGCCAAGAGGAAGGCAACTCCTGGATCCACGTCCCTGCCTTAGCCTCTGGTGCCAGCACTCATCCCTCTTGAAACTGTTGGTTAGCTTTCAGTACAGCCTAGGCAGAGATGACAGAACGTGCCCACAGGCTTAACTAGGACTGCT